AAGAATTATTGTACACGTTGTAAGACTAAAACAAGTAAGGAAACCGAACAATTAGTTTAGGTTTGGTAGTAGAAATAATTAGTAGCAAATACGTTGGTTAGTATATATATCTATATATATATATATATAGGATCATTATATACATGGTGGGAGAGGATCCTATAATATTATTTCTTATATATATATATATATTTATTTATATTTATTCCCAATAATAAAAATTCAGGATCTCCTTACCAAAAATTTTACATCTATATCTTAAATTTTAAAAAGATAACTTTTATTGGGATCACCCTACTTAAAAATAGACCTCCATCTTTACTTTCAAAAAAGATAATTTTTAGAAGTGCATAGTATGCGAATGTTACTTTGAGATAGGATAAAACTTTATGTATGTATAAGTTTCCAAAAAAAAAAAAGAGATGTATGCGATAAAATCATGTGGCCTAAAATTCCTGAGGGGAACTTCTAGAGTTCTTATGTATATCACTACTTTGTTCCTGATATCTATTTTCACAGTTTTTTACAATTATTTTTGATATTTTTACTATCTTTACCCCATACAGAGTGCTCTAAACTATGTCACTCACCCTGTTACATCTCTTAGGATAGAGCCCTTTTAAACTATGTCACATGCCCTATTACATCTCTTAGGTTTTTTTATTCTTTTGACATGTATCCATCCCTTAACTACGGCTTAATAATGTAATATAAATATTTCACATAATTTAAAAGAGCACCAAGTTCCAATTTTAATTTTTGAAGTATTTCAAATTTAGAATTTTGAATCTTCCCCTTAAAGCTTCCAATATTATGAGCATTAAAGATTCACCCATAAAAATATAATGTTTTTTTTTTCTAGTTCTTATATTAATATTCTCTCTCGTTCTCTCACACACTCTCTCTCTTGCATGCCCCTTCTCTCTCACACGCGCATACACCCACACAAATCTGATGCGCGCTGCCACTAGCTTGCTCTCCCCCCGTCCACGCACACTTCCTTAAAAATTTCTTCCAATGAATTTGACTTGTAGTAATTAATGAGCACTTTTTGTTTGAGAATGGAAGGAAGATAAAAACACCATACCGTATTGGATATACTAATTGTACCTTATGATTTCTCGCACTTCATTATTTTTATATTTTTATTTCTGGGCAGATAGAGGGAATTTGTATCTTGTCCTTGACAAAAAGAAATTTTAACATTCGACCATATCCACATTTTCTTCTAGGTCCACAAAAACAAATATAAAAAAAATGATTCTAATCTATTGGATATTAGAATCTAATCTATTCTTAATACTGTTTTATCTATTATAGTATCTCCATTCCATTATTCTTCTCTTCTTTTGGATTCATTTCTTCTTAACCCTAATTTATTTTAATTTTGTTTAACTTTCATGTGGCCGGCAATAGGCCTTATGTTCATGTCTCTATTACAGTCTCCAGAATCATGCCCTTTGATACTCCTACCAAACTTCTTCTAAACCCCAATGAGATGAAATTGAAATGGAAAAAAATAAGGGGAAAAGTAGGGGCAAAACCCTGTGAAAAAATGAAGAGACTCCCCCTGTTCAATCTTTCTTCTTTTGAGAAAAGTTCACATCAATCTAAACCATAACGTCAGTCCATGGAAACCAAAAGGAGAGCAAAGGAACCATTCCTTCCTTCTTTTTTTTTTTTTTTTTAAAGCTGTAGGTCATTCTAGAACCTTCTTAATTTAACTTTCATTTCAGGGTGCGGTTTGTATAAGGGTGAGGCTCTAAGCAATTAAAGCACATATTCAAATAGTGTCAAAAGATGTTGTTTTCATACTACAAATAATTGTAAAGGTCTTACAATTTATTTTTATCTTTAATTATAAAATTTAAAGCTTAAAAAATAATGTAGATCGAGCCTATCTTTGAACAATGGAAATTTTGAAAATTGACTATCTAAATATACATTGCGAGATGCACACCATTTTTTCTCGTGCCCAGATGATCAATTTAGGAATTTTTGAGAATCGAAACAACCTTTTCTAATGAAATTCTTGAAGTACGCATTTTAATTTGATTGTTGAGGCCTCGCCCTTGTATAAACTTTTTAATCTTTCATTTAAACTCTTTCCACTTTACCTGCTCTGTAATACATCCAAACCACTTATAACCTTCCAAAAAAAAGAGCTGTGAGATGGGGCCCCTTGAAAACCTGTCCATACAATTTAATACACAGAGCTCCAGCCCTTGAAAACCCTAAAATTCATAGAGAGACACCAGAACTCACCTCTGAAAACAGAAATGGCCTCCAAAACCCAAAGTAACCCTGAAAAAAAGTTCTCGGATACTCCATATGAGATTGAAAATTGCAGAGGAGTACTCCAAATCTTCAGCAATGGCTCCATAGTCCGCTCTCCACAGCCAAGCTTTCAAATTCCTGTAGAAGATGATGGTTCAGTCTTATGGAAAGATGTCGGATTCGACAAAGCCCTCGATCTCCATCTTCGCGTCTACAAACCATTATCTCATGAAAATAACAGACTACCCATATTCTACTACTTTCATGGAGGTGGGTATTGCATAGGCTCAAGAACGTGGCCAAATTTTCATAACTTTTGCCTCAAGCTCTCAAGAGAACTTCCGGCCATTGTAATCGCGCCGGATTATCGGTTAGCACCGGAAAACAGGCTTCCATCTGCCATTGACGATGCATTCTCAGCCGTCCGATGGCTTGCAACAGATGGCATCACAGATCAATTCCTCTCTCAAACTGCTGACTTCGGACGAGTCTACATTTCCGGGGATTCGGCGGGTGGCAACATTGCCCACCATTTAGCTGTAGGCCTAAGTGAAGGGGGCCATGAAAACCTGACCATAAAAGGGTTTGTGCTCCTGATGCCATTCTTTGGTGGAGTAGAGCACACATTATCCGAGGCCACGTGTCCGCAAGATGCATTCTTGAAACTTGATCTGAACGACCGTTATTGGCGGTTGAGTTTGCCCGAGGGCACGGATAGGGACCACCCACTTTCAAACCCGTTCGGGCCGGGTGCGAAGGATCTCGGCTCGGTGGACTTCATTCCCATGCTTGATGTGGTGGGGGAGAGGGATTTGTTGAGGGATAGAGGTGTGGAGTATGGAAAGAGGTTGGTGGAGATGGGTAAGAAGGTGGAGGTGGTGGAGTTGAAGGGGCAGCAACATGGGTTCTTTACTATATATCCGAACTCTCAGGAGGCAAAGGAGCTTATGGATAGGATCAGGGCCTTTATCGAGGCTAATGCTTAGTCAAATTTTCTTTTTTATGGGTTCAGGGTGTGCTTATCTTGGTTTTATAGACGGAAATGACTGGTTTTCTGTTGAAATGGGGGTCCATTTTGTGGTTTTGGAAGAAGGTTGTCATGCTTTGATGATCGTGGTGGAAAATAAAATGGGGTTTTGATTGTACGAATTATAGAATTAGTTTTTATCATCAGGGTTTTAAAAAATGTTAGATTGAAATCGTGCAATCTGAATCGAAAATCGATTGAATTGGTGATAGACTGATCTGGCTGTACTTTTTATTTTTCATTTGCCGATACAGACTGCCGATCTATTGATTTTACAGATAGAGAATCAGGGTCTGTTTTTCAAACATCCCCCGGTTTTAATCTCGTTGGTAGGACTTTAGAGTTTAGGCCACTGTTTGAATCTTCAATGAAGGCTTGGCCGTACATGTGATCTCTCTTCCTCACCTCTTTTTTTTTTTCCCTCAAAAACTCAATTTTCTTTTTGGAAGTAATTCTTATTTTTCGTGGAAGAATATGTTTGCCATTATCAAAAAAGACAGGGGGCTGAAGAGAAAGACCTCCCTATATGAGATAGAGAGAATTTAGAGAGTGTGGGATTTTACGGTGCAGAGAGAGACAGGAGTCTTTTACTTTAGGAGAGAATGTCGACGTAGAGTAGCATTTGGTGGTTAGTTAGAGATAAATGAAAGTGAACCGAGGGAAAGTGAAATGTGATTTCATTTAGGGTGCGGTTTGTATAGGGCCAAGGTTCTAAACAATCTAATTAGAGCCTTCCATGAAATAGTTTTTAGAAATGTGGTTTCAACACTGAAAACCTTTATGATACCTTTAAAATATATATATTTTAATTTTAATTTATAAAATTTAAAAGTTTCAAAAATAGTGTATATGATTTATGAAAACTTGAAAATCTTGAAAATTGACTATCTACAAAGTGTTACAAATTCATTATTTCTAAAACCTGATATCCATTTTTATCTTATGTTCTATGTTGAGCTGATCAATTTGAATATATTTGAGCATCAAAATATCTTTATCTAATAAAATTTTTGAGGTAGACTTCATTATTCTCGGCTCCATATAATAAACTTTTCCCTTTTCTCTTTCATTTATCTTGGGCTGTCTTACACCCGCGGTCCTCTCTCTGTGCTTTCTAAGTCTTCTGGCAGGGCTTTACTTGCTTCTGTGCTTTCTAAGTCTTCTGGCAGGGCTTTTGATGGGGCTGCAGCATTTTTGTTTTTGTTCGCCGTAGGACTTGGGTTTCTCTCTCCGCAGTTTTCAACCCGCACATTTTCGAAATTTCAGGCACCGGCCGCTACATGTTACTCTTTTTCTCACCTGCCTTGATTATTCTTCAACGCCATTTCCCTCTGTGCTCGAAACAAAGAGAAAATGCAAACGCTGAAATGGAAGAGCGGTTTATTATTGAATCTCAACGTTTCCATCGCTCAGTCGTCCAAAGATGTCTCCCCCTTCCATGCCACCTCTGCTTCTCTTGCTAAATGGAAAAAGCAAATGGATCTTTGTATGTTCTTCTCCATCCTCTCTCTCTCTCTCTCTTTCATCTTCTGTCTATCTCTATTATTTGCTTTTCTCCTATCTATTTCTCTCTCTTGAAGATTAGGGCCAAATCAATCGCTCGCTTCCCCCAATTTTTTTTGCATTTGGCAAGATTTTTTTATTTACATTTGATCTTGTTCTTGTAATATCTGTGTATAACGTGGAGTATTTTTATTGGAGTTGAGTTCTGTTTATGTTTATTTTCTTGTTAGAAGCTTTCTACATTAGGACATCCAAATTTTTGTTCCAACTCTCTCTCTCTCTCTCAATGTTTTTCCAACTATGAATTACAATATAATAGTTAATTACAATATAATGGATGTAAACTTTTGCGTTTCCTGTAAAGGGAAATGACATTTTAATTTTCTGATTTTGCAGACTGAAGAGAAAAGTACACAACCATCATCGAAGGTATGTGCAATCATAAGTTTTCTTCCTACTTTCTGCAAATAATTATTTTTCCTCTTTTCTTGTGGGATGGTTTAAAATATTAATATATCCATCACAGTTGCTAGTATATGAAGATGCTTGGTATATTTGATTAATTAGAATGAGTTGTTCGTCGGGTTAAGAACTTGTAGAAGCTAAGATTGATGGAAGTGAATGCTGGTTGTGTTGGAATTTATGTTAGAATTGTTCAATTCCACAAATAAAATGTCTATTTGAGCTATAGTCTATATCAGAAAACGGACGTTAGACGTGCACTATGTTGATTCTTTGGGATCCCTAGAATATTTCTTTTCCTTGTATTAATGTCATAGTCCCAAAGGAATAAAATGAAATATTGAAGCAATGGAATCTTATTTTACATTGATATTAAGTTGGCGCCTTCTCAATAATGGGTAACTTATATCGATTGCAATTGCTGGTTGTGATGATCTGGTAAGAAGTGGGTGTATAATTTTAATATCCCCTTTAGGTCCACTACTACTCATTCAATTTAAAGAACTGATTCCATATATTGATCAGCTTTTCATGCCCAGAAGATAACATGTAAAGAACTAGAATTATTAAAAAATTGAAATACCTCCCATGTATGAATCCTATATGCAGTGATAGCCCCTTGGATTTGTACTAATAAATTGATTTTTGGTAGTTTGCGAGCTAGAATATATGACTTGTTGTGATCCTCGCCTTCTTCACAATATTTATCTTCACAACTTCATCTATTTATGGAGAAGGTGGGCTTGTCGTCATACGACCTCTCTATGGGAAGTGACTGGTAATGTTACAGTGAGTATTATTGAAGTCGAGGTAGCTAGAGAATTGATATGTTTATTTTTGTTCAAGATTGGCTCAAAATCTACTCTTCTAAGTTGGATCTAAATTCAAAACTTATATGCAAGAACCTTGTACTTAGGGTGACTTCCATGCTTCAAAAGCTCGAAAAGGGCAAGGGGAAGGACCAAAAGAACATGTATGGAAATAGTGGGAAGAGATATGGTGAAATATGGTCTGATTGAGGCTATGCCCCTTGATAGGGGCAGAATGATGGAATATGACTCGTGTAGCCGACCCCAAATAGCTCGGATAAGGATCAGATGATGGTGGTGATGATTAAAAAACAAAACAACAATAATATGCATTTTATATTTTTTATCTTTGCTTGCTGTGATGGTATATAGAATCATGTAGATTACCAAATGAAAAAAAGATAAGTTGTGTGTAATAGTGACTGTACTAGATGAAATGAAATGCATTCCTAGTCCGAGATATCTTCATGCATCGATGTTTCAGAATGTAATACCCATACATTTTATTAGGCTTTAAAGGTGAAAGAGGAACAAATTTATTAGGAAAATCTCTTCTCATTGTCTGATGGTTAGGCATAGTTAAGTTAGCAAGATGATTAGCTAAGGTATGTCGCTTGGGGTATAGATACGACCTTAGAAGGAAGCAAGGAGGTTCCATCAACTATATACATGTGTATTTGTTACAAATGAAAATGTTGTTGTCATGGCAGCAAGCATCTCTAGAAGAGTTGATTATGGGGTACCATTGGAGCTAAAGGATGGTTCCCATTCATTGCAGAACGATGATTGTGTTAATGTGTTATTCTTTGGGTTAAGAAGCTGCCATCCTCGTTGGTCGGTGGAGATTCTCTATAGGATTTGAAATATTGTAGTTAGGTGATGTTTGTCATGTAATTAGGGGCCCGATGCCTTGCTTGTGCAAATATTGAGGTAAAGTTTGTGTCATATGGATGGGATACCATGGTGATGGAACCAAAAGATCCCCAGTTTTTATAATCTTAGCTGCTTCAATGAGTATTATGCAGAATAAGAGCATGATGCAATGTGTCTTTGAACAGAGTTAACTAGAGTTCTAACTGTATATTCATTGTCAATAGGCTAAAATCGATCCCCACATTTGGTGGACATTGATGGTATTGTTACTACAGCGTATTGATTAGTTGTGATGGTGGGTTCCCTCACTCCTTTGTAAGGATCTTAAATACTTCCTTGAATTTTCTAGTATGCTTGAGGAATATGTGAAATAATTGTAATTATTATCATTCATGTGATGGATAGCAAAACACTGAGAGCAGATGTTAAGTACTCGCATTGTTAATCGAGTATCTGGCACTACCCAATATCGATATTGGCTAATATAAAAATAACTAGGATAGGCAAATTTGGTGGCATGATAAGTTAGTTCATTTGTGTGTTACCATTGGTAGGATCAGCTTATGAGACAGTTTGCCACCATAGGATTCGCCATGTCTTAAAATTTTTGGAATGAAATAGTTTCTTTCAATGAAACTTTTTCAAAAAAATGCATTTATGGAAAAAAATGAATGCATTTGTGGAAAAGAAAATCACAATCTCAATATTCAAGTGTTCAACATCATCAAAATGAAATTATTTTTTGCATGTTACATCTTGCTGGATTGGATACCTCAATGACCAAAGGAGTGATCTCTTGTGCTATACCTTCAATGGAATGATTTGAAGACTTTGAAATGCTACCTACAGCATATCTAGAAGGATTTTGTATAAATTTGAAACACTTGCAGGTTTCAGGAGTCTTGAGCACTTGTGTGCCAGGTTTTTGCTATCGAACTTTGGGTCTTACAATTAGCTCTGATCCATGTCAATGAATGTGAAATATTTCAGAATTCTCTTACTTTATGGGTGCTTGTGTGCTGGGAGAGAAGAGGAGGTGGTGGTTGGGGCTTCAGTCATGATAACCATAGAATGAGAAATTCCCTTTGAGGAATTCTAATAATTTTAGTGCAACTGCAACCATATCAGGTTTAAAGGACTGAAGGCCCTTTGAATATGTACACATTTGTAAAGCATGTTACATGACAACAAAACTCGTCTCCTCACATCTCAGAGTTTGTATTATTCTCTCTTGGTTTTTCCTTTATCAACTCAATGATTTCTGCATTGGTTGTATTCCAGTACTTCATGAGGGTTGAAGTTGATTTCACATGGAAGAATTTCATGCATTGTTTTTCTCTGCCTATGTTCATTGACAAATAAATTATTTATTTCTTCACCATGGTGCTGAAATGCTCCCCATCTGATATTTTTTTTGTTGTTATTCCTGCTTTGAGAGTTTTATTCCTGTTTTTATTATTTTTTATTCCTGTTTTTAAAAGAGTTTTACATGCCATCAAGGGCACATGAGCCTCCTCTTATTTGGCTTCTCCTTGACGATTCCCCATTTATAGCATAGCG